TCATATGAATTCTAGCTGGGTTTCCTCTATCCTGTCCTTGTGCAGCTGATTTGTTTTTAACCTAAGCATAAGACTTTATCTATACAAAATTCCATCTTTATCTGAAACTCTAGTTTTTGTGGGCCTCAGCTTTTTCTAATTCTTTCCCTGATCTCTCTAAGGCTATGAATAATTAAGATGTTAATTTATAAACTTCCAATTATTTATCTCTATTGCATTGAGATTCTAATCTCGATCCCAACTTTCCTTGAGGGTGAAAGTATTATGCACTCGCATATAGAGTATATTTACAACAACGTAATTAAAATTGACAGCATGGGATTAGTGTTATCAAACAGAGGCCCTCGGCTTGGGAGACTTGAAATCTCAGTTGCCCATATCCACCAAGTTTCCTCTTAACCTTCCCCTTAGTTTTACCTAAGTTTCCCTTTCTTTCTCCTAGTTTTCCCCAGACATTTGCAAATAATATGTTATAAGGGATCACCATACGATATCAGTAAACCAAAGTGTTTTGGTCTTAAAGGCCAAGTGTGTGCGACAGCTTCCATTTCTGCTGACCAAATTAAACTTTTTTGATGTTCCTCATGCAACCCACGTAACCCTGCTTTTGAGCATGCCCAATTTATCTAACGTGCCTCTCACTGTGTCCACTACCATATGGGTGAGGGTAGCCCCCTTGTTTGTCTGCCTGCGTTGGTCAGACCAACCCAGCAGCATTTTGCTTAATCATCTTTTCTCTGGGCTCTTCTCCTCTACTGTTATTGGCTGCACCCAGCAGTAAAGGCAACGAACTGAACTTGTGTGCCCCTGCTGCTTACCTGGTGTTCACGCCAGCTCCGAGAAATGGGCCTGGACGTGTTTCTGTTTTGTGTTGTTTGCCCTCCTCAGCTTCAGGCGCCTGAGGTGATCCTCACCAAGCAGTAGCGACCTTGGAGCCAGAATTGCAGGGTGGCCAGGAAGGGGTGCAGCAGCCAGCCATCTCGGCATGGAAGCCAGGGTGCCTGGGACTTGAGCCCCAGGGGGTTTTGGGAGTCGGAACTGAGACTGTGCTCTATGGGAACAGAGCTAAGATACGACCCTAATCCCCTTCCCCTCCCTAAAGACTGCTGTAGTGGTAAGGTGGGGTTTGACCTCCTACTTATTAGGGGGAGTAAATCTGTATATTTGTGATCATACAAATATACAAATACTCTGTGAAGTAAATATTCCTTTGTAGAAACTCCACTAAGTTACACATACATTAGGACAAAATGAGACACACCATTTATATTATATCCTCTGAAGCCATTCCAGCTGTGCCTTTACTATTCTTTCTGGGGCCTAAAACTGTAGGAAAAATCCACTGGCTACTGTCTGAAGTAAAAGCTGTTTCTGTTGAGGTTAAGCACTTTTCTTTCTACCTGGAATGCCCTCCTTCTACCTATCAATAGTCTGCCCACCATCTTCAAAACAGCACAAGTGAGAAGTATAGAAGTTGACATTATCATAGAGAGAGTCAGTCTCAATACTGGCCTGCGTACTGGAAGAGAGGATGCAATTTGTACGTTCACAAGTGGTATGAAGGAGGCAGACAGCTGTCTTGTTCTCACTGATGTCCTTCTAGTGCTTGCACTTGAACTGGGCAATTGTTGACCATGTGGTTGCCAAAGTCCTTCCTACCCAAAGGAATGTCCTCAGCTGTGGACTTAACTTCAAAGATGCCATTTTCATTGGTGAGGATAGAGACCTTGAAAGAGCCACTTATGACGTCAAAGAGGAAGGGGGAAGGGGGAACGGAAAGAAACAAGCATTTATTAAGTACCTACTATGTGCCAGGCACTGTGCTAAATGCCTTACAAATATTAAAGATCAGCATATTTCTCTTGGTGCTAAGTGTCTTCTCCAAGCCATAGGCAGCAGCAGCAGCAGCAATGGGTTCATTGTTGATTTGGAGCAATGGCTCCAGCATCTTTGGTGGCCTGATGTTGGGGATCATGACAGTAGGCTGATTGTTGTTGTTGTTTTTCATCCTTCATTTTTGAAAAGGACCAATGACATCATGAGGGTGATATCTTGACGTGAGTGAATTGGATTTAAATACGGCAGAGCTGTGCAGTCACCAACCCTCACTCTCTCTTACAGCGTCATCAGAGTCCGATAGCAAAACACATCAAGACGACTGGCCATGGCCCAGGCTGTAGTGGGAAATTTTGGCCTTTTTAAGCTAAGGTGTTTCCCAAGTCTCACCAGGCAACACTCATTCATTTGCAAAGTCTTCTCAAGACATCGGCAAGTTCTTTCATCTTTGTCAAGACCACAGATGATGCTTCTTCTCAATAGAAACTTCTGGTTTCTCCTCTTTGCCTCACTTGGATTTTAGGCCTGCCTGTATCACTCACACCATGAAAAGCCAATGCTTCATGTCTGTACAACTGCATCATCAGATCATAAGATACTTGGCATCAAATGCTGTGTTGGTGGGCAACTTGATTCTTTGCAGCATCACTGAAAAAATGTTCTGTGTTAGCTTGGTGTGGTCCACTTTCCTTGGTCATTAGCAATAACCTCCAGTTTCCCATGTTGGAAAATTTAGATTGGAAGCTCCTTAAAAGCAGAGACTGTCTTTGTTTTTATTGTATCCCCACAGGAGACATTTAATGTTTATTGCCTGACTGACTGATTTGGAAATGGAGCCTCAGAGAAGTCAGAATTAAATACATAGATCTGGGAGTCATCTTCATTAAAATGATAATTAACACCAAAAAAGCTGATGAAGCCATGTCACAGTTAAAAAGATACTCCCCCCAGGCCCAATTTTATAGATAGAGATGTATATTTAGATGTGAGATTATATCTGTATTTATATGTATCTATAAACACACATATGTACTTATTTACATATAAAATAGAATCTGCATTAATCTTTTTTATCGAATAACAGCCTACACTTTCACCAAAAAAATCTGTCCAGAGCAACTAAGCAGTGCATTAAGAGAAGTGCTTTCTTCTACTTTCTGTTAGATAGTTACAAAACATAGCAACTTCCCTGGGTTTCTTTTCCCAGCCTACTTGTGCTGACAAGCTGGGTCCCCAAAAGATAGCTCATTACTTCTCCCATCAAGGTTTTGTCAGCCAGTATCCCTGAGGGCCTGGGGTTTCTAATACTCTTCCTCATGACCCCGGTTTTGTTGAACTCCCCTCGGTATCAATTAACCACTTGACATCAATCAGCTTTTACAAAAGGATATTTATGGAGAAGGTATGTCAAGAACGGGAGTTACAAACCAGGAAGCATATTCTGCCCTGGGGACAGGGAGCTCAAACCGACAGGGGTTGGAACAAAACATTTCCCCCCAACACGGGAGCGCGCTGTTCTTCCTGCTCAGGTATGAGGTCCCTGGGGAGTGTGGGCTTAAGCCCACTTGAAGGAACGGTACTGAGGCACACATTTAGGGAACAGTGGAGTCAAGGGGCATCTCACGAGTCCTGATCCTAGGAGTCCTTTCTCCTATAGAAGAATATTCACCAATTTTGTTTTGGGAAACAGCATCAGCTCTGATTAACAGAATGCATCTTTAAAAAGGGGGGATGTTGAGGCATTCACTTTTCCCACCATCTTTATGGTTGTGCTCTTTCTGCTGTGCCCTGTATGGATCTCATGAACTGAACCAATGATCCTTCTGTCTCTTTTTCACCCCCGGCTCTGAGAAATGGACCTAAGAATGTTTGTTTCTGTTCTGTATTGTTTGTCTAAACGGAGTGGTGCAGCAAGTCAGTCTAAATAGCAACTGAATGGGCAGGATACCTGGACTTCAAGCCCGAGGAAGGAAGTTGCGGGGAGAGGGTGGATGATGAGGAAGTGTGGATTTAGAACTGGGACTGTCTTCTTCTGGAAGTTATGAATTTAATCCCCTTCTGCTCCCCAGGGCCTGAAGTGTAAGGGAGGTGGGGATTATGCCTCCCACATATTGGGAGGAGTAAATTTGTGTATTTGTAATTATATTTTGAGGTAAATATTTTTCTGTAAAAGTTAATCTGCTCTTAGTAGCTAAAAAGGACTTGAAGGCAGGGGACCCAACCCCTGCAATTTAGGGAACAATGTAGACGGGGTCAGGGCCATTTGCAGAGAGCCTAGACACCCCCAATCCTCTTAAAGTTGCTAGAGATCCCTGGAGGAAGAGTAAAATCTAACCTACCTGGCCTTCAGGAGGTGAGGGCCAGGTTGCCTTTGTAAAATGTGTTGTGTTTCAGTGATAAGATGAGGAAGCAAGAGACTGGGCAATAGTGATTAGTCTAGAGTTGTTAGTTAATTGAGGGGTTGAGATTGGGGAAGGTAGAGAGTATAACCAGAGAAGGAGCCACTGTCTGGGAAAGGACCGAGGAGTGGATGAATCAGACAAAACAGGGATTATGAAGAATAGATTTAGGAGGAGAAAGGCGTAGGAAAAGATGCAATCATAGGAAATTATGATCAGATAAAGTAAATTTAGAGTTCTTAATCAAAGCAGTGGCACACTTGTGGGTGAGAGTAAGATTAAAGGTATAACCATCCCTGTGTGCAACCACAATGTTACACAAGAATTAAACAATGTTAAAAAATAAGAACACATCAATGGCACCTTCAAAGATCACAGAGTTAGGGCTGGAAGGGATTGTGGAGGTCATCAACTCTGCGTAGTGTAATATTTATAGTAAAACAACCCGTGTGGCCTGAGTAAGTCACATTGGAAAGCCCTTTTGTCCAATCAAGACTATGAAAGAAAACTGAAAAAGTAAAGAGGGAAAAGTATTGCTTAAAGCTCAGTTTTGATCATGTCTAGGGTCTCCACGAAAGGTACTTAATGTACCATGTAGGTCAGGTGTGGGAATGATGCACCCACATAAAATAAATGTTTAAGATATATATGAATGATTGACAGACTTAAAGCATGATACTATAACCCGTCACTCCTTTTTCGTGCTCTCCCGGGAGGTTTATACTTGAAGCACTAAAACATGAGACTGTGGAATAAGTATCTCACCTTCACCTTGGATCTGTACTGATTTGACTGATCCTCAAGGTCCATGTCTTCTGGCCAGCCAGACCCGGGCTTGGACTCATCATCCCTCTGTACTCATCTTCTCTGAATAGAGCGCCCTTGGAGAAGACCCCTCTGGCTGTCATTCGGCTCTGACTGAGGGATCCAGGAGCACTCTAGATTATGAGGTTGCCTCTAAGGTTGGAAAAGTCCTGTTGGAAACAGGATCACTATTCAATCACTTATGCTCAGGGAAGGAAACACAAGTGAAAAAGACACCCAGTCCTGAAATTCAGGTTCATATTTACTTAGGGAGCGTACATGTGCACTTCTGTGTGCCAACAGCCGCCACGACTGCCAAGGGTCAGAAGGGCCCCTCTCTCTCCCCTTCCCCCTTGTAGTAAGCCCCAAAGAGAGAGTTCCATGCCACATATTTGGAAGAGAGTAGGAAAGGGAGTGAGAAGAGAAGCTGTAGTTCTTTCTTGCTTAATACCTCATCTTCTTGGATATAGACATCCCTTATCATTGTCACAGGACCAAGAAAGGGGTCAATAAGAAGATGGCTTCATCATCCCAAAATGTGAGTCCTTTAGCACTTACATATTAATAATTTTATCCAAATTAAAAAACATGGAAGATGGCTAGTGTAAAGCCTCAGAAATGGGAGAGGGTGCACAATATGTGAAGAATGGGGAGGAGGCCAGTTTGGCTGGAGCCACTGGTGTTAGTGGAGGAGTGAAGTGACTAGCTCTGTGCTTAAGGAAAATCACTTGGCAGTTGTGTGGATGATGGATTGGTATGGGGAGAGAGATGAAATTGTGGGACCGCTTAGGAGGCTGCTGCAATAATATAAGCATTGTACCAGAATGACCAGAGAAAGACAATAGGACAATGTGTAATGAGGGACTTGTTACCTGACGACGGATAGAGGAAGTTCTGAGAAAGGGATACAGAGATATATGTGTTGCCAAAAATAGATTCATCTTATTTTATTATTTTTGCCTTTGCATAGCCCTGGCTCCAGACAATCCCATGGACACAGTTGCAGGTAAAGGTCAGTCAGTAAATCCTAACCTCACTTTCAATTCAATAAACATTTATTATGCACTTATTATGTACCAGGGAGGATCTGAGGATGTTGTTGTTCAGTTGTTTCAGTCCTATCTGACTCAGCATGACCCCATTTGGGGTTTTCTTGGCAGAGATATTGGAGTGGTTTGCCATTTTCTTCCCAGCTCATTTTACAGATGAAGAAACTGAGTTAAACAGGGTTAAGTGATTTGCCCAGGGTCACATGGCTAGTAAATGTCTAAGGCTGGATTTGAGCTCGTCTTCCTGATTCCAGGGTGCTCTGTCTACTATGCCACCTAGCTGCCCATCTAAGGATACAAGGAACGGGTATCCTAGAGGTATACAGTCTGTATGCAGGTAAATAAACATCATATTTTTATTTATATCCACATGCAAAATAAATACTAAGTAATTTGGGGAAGGGAGGGGCCTTGGGAGAAGAGGTGGCTTGAAGGGAGCTGAGGGGCTCCAAGAAGCAGTAACTCTGGAGCTACTCAATTTGGGTTTGCCCACTGAGCCTCATTGTTGATTACAATTTCCCTAGAAGACCACATCAGGTGGAACACAGTTTGTTTGACCACAAGTGTATTTGTAGGTAGTTTATGTTTGCATAAATTTTGTAATCATTCCCAGACAACTAATTGTCTGTTTGAGCTTTTTTCTTTCCTCTTGAGGTTTGCGCTTTCTTTGTTATATACTTCTGGGTACCTTACCACTCCCTCAAGCAGAGCAAAGTCCTCTGCCTCAGAGGCACACGCACAGTTTTATAACCAGGAAAGACTTATAATTGCCAGCAGAAAATTTTTTCAGGTGACAGTTGAAAGAACATTGCCCCCAGAGTCAGCATATCTGATAAACAAAATCTACATGAACACTCTACCCGCCAAGGACAGCCTGTACTTTTACAAAAAAACCTTGAGCAATGTATCAGAGGCAAAGTATCTGCTCCCTTTTGGGCATTTGTGCTTTGTGCCTATATCACACCAAATCACATAAATCCTTATTCGGAATGGACCTTAAAGGATATCTAGTTCAACCTATAGATGTACACAAGTTCCCTCTACACCATAATCAATTACTGCACATCCAACCTTTGCCCTAAGACCTCAAGGGGGGCGGAAATTCCCTATCGTTGGGGGTCGTCTCCTGCACTCTTGGAGAGCTCTTATTTTTAGGAAGTTTTCCCTTAAATTTAGCTACAATTTGCTTTCTCTAACTTCTACCTGTTGCTGTTTTGCTCTTTGGGATCAAACAGAAACGGTCTAATTCCTCTTTCAAATGACAGCATCGCAAATCCTGAAAGGCAGTTATTGTTCTAAGTCTTTTCTTTCCCAATCTGAACATCTCCAGTCCCTGTAGCTGATCCTCATCTGGCAAGATCTCAAGCTTCTTATAGTCCTGGCTGCCCTGCTCTGATCACTCTCCAGTTTATCAGTCTTTCCTAAAATATGGTACCCAGGGCTGAACACAATACTGCAGATGAGAGTTGACTAGAGCATATTTGCATTTCTGCTTTTAGCACTTAGCACACAGTAAGCACTTAATGGGGCAGCTAGTGGTGCAGTAGATAGAGAACTGGCCCAGGGGTCAGGAAGACTCATCTTCCTGAGTTCAAATCTGGCCTCAGACATTTCCTAGCTGTGTGACCCTGGGAAAGTCACTTAACCTTGTTTGCCTCAGTTTCCTCATCTATAAAATGAGCTGGAGAAGGAAATGGCAAACCACTTCACTATCTTAGCCAACAAAACCCTAAATGGGGTCTTGAAGAGCAGGACACATCTGAAATGACTCAACAACAACAACCACATAACGCATGCTTTTTCATGCATTCAGGTATAGTGGTTCTACCACCTCTCTGTGCCTGGATATTCTGCCTGTCTTAACACAGCCCAAGATCCCATTAGCTTTTTGGCTATAATCATGTTGTTGGCTCATGGTAATTTTGCAGTTCACTGAAGCGCTAAATTTTTTTTAAAAGAAAAACTGCTATTTGTCCACTTCTTCCCATCTTTTAATTTTTTGAAATTGATTTTTAGAACCCAATTATAAGGCTTTACGTTCATTTCTATAAGATTTCATTTTCTTAGATTAGCCTGGGAAGATATTTTGGATTCTGCCTCTGTCATCTAGTGCATTAACGATACCTTCAAGTTTTGTATCACCTAAGAATTAGATTAGCTACATGTTGTTCCTGCTGTTATGCAAGATTTAGGTGCAGTCACTGATAAAATATAAACAGGGACAAGTACTGGATTTCTTCACGTGTCCCTCTGTCCTCTGTCTCTGTCTCTCTGTCTCTTTCTCTGTCTCTGTCTCTCTCTCTCTTTCTCCTGAAAATCAAAATAGTACTACATGGAATGTCACGTAGTATTAGAGTTGGAAGGAGCTTTGGCAGACATCTAGATCAATCTATACTCCAAAAGGTGTTTCTACTATGACAGTTAGTCAGTCAATAAATAATTATTAAGTGCTTTCTGTGTGCAAGGCACTGTGCTAAGTGCTGTGGATTCAAAGAAAGGCAAAGTCCCTGTTCTCAAGGAGCTCACAGTTTAATGAGGAAGAGAATATTCAAATAACTCTATACAAACAAATTAAATACAGAATGAATTGGAAACAATTAACAGAGGAAGGCACTAAAGTTCAGGGCAATCTGGAAAGTGTTCCTGTAGAAGGTGGGATTTTACCTGGGACTTAAAGGATGCCAGGAAAACCAGGAGGTATAGATAAGGAGAGAGAACATTCCAAGCATGAGAGACAGCCAGGGAGAAAAGGGAATAGGGAGAAATGGAGGATCTTGTGGGTGGAATAGCAAGGAGGCCAGTGTCACTTGATTGAAGAATATAGGGAGGGGGGAGTGGAATATAAGGTGAAAGAAGGCTAGAAAAGTGAGGGGGGGGCCAGCTAGGTGGCGCAGTGGATAGAGCACCAGCCCTGAAGTTAGGAGGACCTGAGTTCAAATCCGGCCTCAGACCAGACACTTGACACTTACTAGCTCTGTGACCCTGGGCAAGTCACTTAACCCCAATTGTCTAAAAAAAAAAAGTGAGGGGGGGAAGGTTTGAAAGACTTTGAATGCCAAAAATAAGATTTTTAATAATTTAATCAGTGTAAGGTACCCACAGCAATAGAGAAGTTAGGGAGAGGGGAGGGTTTGAGGGAAAAGATGATGTTCAGTTTTGGACAGGTTGAGTTCAAGATGTCTATGGAGCATCCAGATCAAGATGCCCAACAGGCGAGTTGAAGATGTGAGATTGGAGGTCATCAGAGAGGTTAAGGTAGGATAGGTAGATTTGAGAATCATTAGGATAGAGATGATAATTAAATCCATTAGAGCCAATGAGATTACCAAGTGAAATAGTATGGAGGGAGAGCAGGAGAGGGCCCAGGAGAGAGCTCTGTGGGACTCCCATGGTTAGTGCACAACATATCCAACAAATGGTCATTGAGCCTTTTTTTTACCTTTCTCCAGTCCCGTTGCTCCTGTCCCATTCTACATGATCTTCCAAAGGTCACAGGTAGTAGCTCAGGAATCATGTCTATCAGTTGTCTCATTACCCTGGAATGCAACACTCTGAGCCTGGTGACTTGAATCTCAAGGGTAGCTCTGTATTGTTATTATCTCTATATTAATTGAGAAATGGTCAAAGGAGGTGAATAGGCAGTTTTCTAATGAAGAACTCTAAACAAGTTATAGGTTTATTCCATCTGTATTTATCTTAGCTTTCTAGGTCATATTTTTGTTCTATTTTTTCCAAAAATCATTCTCAGAAGAGAAAAAGAAGCAGAATAAGAGCTGAGTAGTTCTGTCTTCTCTCCATTGATAATTATCATCCTCTTATTTTCTCCAATACAGCTTTAAATCTGTCTCTTTTTCTGTCTCTCTCTGTCTCTCTGTCTGTCTGCCTCTGTCTTTGTCTCTCTCTCCACCCCTCTCCCTCTCTCCCTCCCTCCTTCTCTCCTTATAGTTCCCTATCAGGCTTCCAAGGCTATGCTTATAGGAGTGTGCTTAATGCTTTTGTATGGGCAGCTAGGTGGCACAATGGATAGAGTGCCCAGTTTCCTGGAGTCAGGAAAACTCATCTTCCTGAGATCAAATCTGGCTTCAAACACTTACTAGCTATGTGACCCAGGGCAAGTCACTTAACCCTATTTGTCTCAGTTTCCTCATCTGTAAAATGAGCTGGAGAAGGAAATGGCAAACCACTCCAGTATCTTTGGAAAGAAAACCCCAAATGAGATCACGAAGAATTGGGTATGACTGAAAACAACTCAACAACAATGTGCTTTTATATTCATTCAATTATCTGCCCTTGCTTCCATCTTTTATATGTTTTTTAATTAAATTCATTAATAAGTTCCCTGTGAAGACACTGGTATCTTTATAAACCTGTCTCCTTTTTTTCTTCATAATTATATGTGACATGCATGGTCACGAGTCATGCATGTACAAATTTTAATTCAAACTGAAACTGAACCAACCTGTTAAAGTTCATCCTGGAATCTACTTATGAGATAGAGCCCTACTCCAATGCCTCATCTTGGCATGGAGGAAAGCTTGGGTTCTCAAAGGCTGTATCAGTAGAGCACAAGCTCTTGCAAGTTTTCTTATGCTGGAAGGGCTTGAAGGATGATAGATTTAGAGTTGGATGGAACCTTGGAAGCTATGTAGTCCACCCCCACCCCATTTTACAGATGAGAAAAGTGAGGCTCTAGTAAGGCTACGAGACTCACACAGAGTTGTACAACTAACAAGTGTCAGAGGTGGGTTTTCAGCCCAGGACTTTGGATTTTTTTTTTTAGGCAGTTGGGGTTAAGTGACTTGCCCAGGGTCACACAGCTAGTGTCAAGTGTTTGGTCTGAGGGTGGATTTGAACTCAGGTCTGCCTGACTTCAGGGCTGGTGCTTTATCCACTGCACCACCTAGCTGCCCCAGGACTTTGGATTCTTTAGAGCTGCTACCTCTCCTGCTCCACCATC